CGTTTTTAGAAGGTCTCTTTCTATAAGTCTATAATATATAACTAAACTATTGTTGTATGTAAAGTAAATAAGGTTTTTAAAATGTTTAAGAAGCTTCATTTAAAATTAAATTAAAATGCAGAGCCCCCGGACTGGTGTCCAGGACCAGGGCAGTGTGAGTGCCACTGAAAATCAGCTCGCGTGCTGCCTTCGGCACGCGTGCCATAGGTTGCCTACCCCTGTGAGATCACTCAGTGACAAATGACAACAAAGGGGCAGAACTGAATGAGTTGCTGAATGGCTGCAAAAGGGAGTGTCTAGTAAGCCATTCCCATTAGAAATTGCTTATCTAGGGATGGATTTTCAAAAGATCACAGCACCCAGAAGTTCCCATTGTTCTCTATAGGGGGAGTACTCATTTTCCTTAGTGGGAACTGTTGGGTGGTGAGCAATTTTGAAAAAAACTCTAATATTTAATGCATATTAGCGCTGACTGATTAATGGGGGTTGAAGAAGAGAGACAACGTTCATAAATTATTCAGATTCCAGATGGTGGTTTGGTGCATTATTCAGTACTTATTTTTTGTTACTTTTTGTCCTGAGGTTTAAAAAGTTTAGATCCTCCAATCAAGGAGAAGAAACAGCATCTTGGAACTCAGATTGCCAACTCCCATTGGCCATCCCATCCTACAAACAGCAAAAAGTGGAAGTTGAATAGTTCATGAACACCACTCAGAATGAAAGTTGTTCTCAAATCTGTTTGCCAAACCCCTACAAACAAAAGACACATTTGCAGGGATCACAAATGATTCCGGAGCTGAAAAACAGGGCTACATTTATCAGACCATGCACTCAGAATTTATCTGTCCGTCTCTATTTTAATACACACAAGACTCAGATAGGTAACACATAAAGACCAACTGGAGCAGAAACCTCCAGAAGGGAAAGCTCCTTTGAAATATCTCTGACATTCCCAGAAAACTGAATATGCACCTAAAATTGCCAAGACTTCGCAGATAAAAAATATATTTTTTTCATCACTGTGTTTAAATGTTCAAGACTCTGGCATTCGCTTCAGGCAGTAACATTTGAATACAGTTCTTTCTAACCATCAGCTTACATCAGCCATTAGCTGCATTTTGTATGTATGCAAACAAGTACCAGGTACCATGCCTTCTTACATAAAAGCATTTGTCCTAGCTATGCTATGACATTTATTTCCGTGTTCTTTCTATCCTTTTTGGCAGAGCTGCTGTCACAGTCTCTCACCCAATGTCAACTCAGCACCTTCTGCTGCTCTTATTGTTGACATCAGCTCTCTGCAGGTTCTGAGACGGGGTGACACTAGAACAGTGAGTGACAAACGAAGTACCATGGGACAAGAAGAAAGGGCACATTACCCAGGCAAGTTGGAGAGTTTTTCCAAATGGGATTTCACTGGTCTATAATAAATGTTCCAGTCGTAAAAGTGGAGAGTCTCAGTGCTTAAAGAAACACAGGAATAAATAGTTACCAAAGCAAAAAGAGAAAGAAAAATGTATCTCTGTTTTATTTAAAAAAAAATAAATGAAATGTTCTGACCTGAGAGCTTGAAGCCTTCTGTA